TATATATATATATATATATTGCAAAATACGATCATTGACTCAATACGTCGATGCGATTGCAAAATTAAAGGAAGTCTGTAGGAACAAAGCATTTTGCGACGTTTCTATCAATTCGAGCACAAAAGCGTAGCAACCCCGAACCCGATATGGGAAAACGATTAATCACGGAAACAGAGCTGAGCTGAGCGTGCACGAAGGCGCACTCGGTGCCAAATATCTATTAACGATAATCGATATTTACCAGAAACTGAGTTTCAAACAATTCTTCGGTTAAATAGAACTTATTCGATTCCTTATGATTTAGCACAGAGAATAATTAATTCGTTCGAATTAAGCAAGCAGGAAAAATGAGAATTCTATGAAGATATTTTTTTTATGTTAACAACTATCTAAAGTTGAATTCCTCAAGTTGATCGAAGAATTAAAGTCACGTATTTTGTATTTATGGATGGGTAGATATTTAAAATAATTCACGTCATTCGAAGTAAGATAAAATATTCTATAACACAGTAAATTGCATAAAAATATTTCTGAAACAGAATTTTTCTGAAATATTTAAATCTATACTTAAGAAAATCAATAAAATGTGAAAACGATTCTTTTAAATTCTCACGCAACTAAGCTCCGAAATTTATAAGCTCATACATAACGCGAAAATCTCAAAAATATCATCGATATCGAGAAACTCTCGAGGCATGATCAAAGGAAATGGACAAAAATAAAAATATCTATTACAAGGTGAAGAGAAAACTGTCGAAAATTCTAAATTTCGTCCACGTGACGTTCGTTCGAGACACGAACGTATCATCCTTCGGGCCACGAACATTAGAGAGGATCGTTGTATCGCCGCGAAGCATCACAGAAGCCTGTATCTCCACCGGAGACGACATCGAATGCATAAAAGACAGGGACTTTCGAAAGAACCGAAAAGATCTGTTCGCGTAGCCTGCTCCGTCAAGGTCCTCTCCGTGAAAGAACGATGACCGAAACGAGAGAGACGGGGAACGAGAGAGTGAGGGTAGAGAACAACCGGGAAGAGACGAGAGGAGAGAAAGAAAGAAACGAAAAGAGCGAGAGAAAAAGGGAGACGGAGAAAGAAGTGAGCTTACAGGGAGGAGGCAGGGACGAAGGTTCCCACAAAAGACGAGCAAACGCTATCGGGCCGATCTCAGGGCTCACGTACCTACACACTTTGTTCCCCTGCAAAGGCCGAGGAAAACCGCCACGGATCGACTCACTGGGTCGGATGTCCTCGAGCAACGATATCACTGACAACGTCACAAGGCGAGCAACTCAACGGCACATCACCATCAGTGTCCATCACACGCGTAGCCGTGCCGCTCGTTCTACTTACTGGGAGTATCCGAACTGGGTGAAGAAGAAAAAAGAAAAAAAAGAAAAAAAGAAAAAAAAAAAAAATGAAACGGCCACGAGGCTCGTCACGGGTATCGCGAGAGGCGGTTTCGAGAGCGGAGCACACCAGGCCGGAGTGCGATAACGAATTTAAACGTAACAACGATGACGAGCACGACGACGAGAATACCGGCAACCACGCGCGTTCCTTCTTTTNGCGACGCCACGAAAGAATCTCGCGTTTTACGGGGCAACCGGAGTGTGTCCCGTGGAGCTAGCCGCCGATTCCCGGCGCGGGAGGATGCAAGGACAAAGAGACGAAAAAACGTCTGGTCGAAGCAGAGGGGGTAGCCCTCTAGCGAGAGAGAGGGAGATACGGCGAGGGAANNNNGAGAGCAGAGAGGGTAAGAAGAAGGAAAGAGAGCAGCGACCAGCCGGCCGAAGAAAGAACGAGCTGTGGTCGGAGGGAACGAGGGAAACGAAGACGGCTTGAGAGAGAGAAAAAAAAATGTTGGAGAGGAGAGAGAAAGAGAGAGAGAGAGAGAGAGAGAGAGAGAGAGACGAGATAGCCGGTGACACACGGATGCAGCGCGGCGTAACGATATCGAGTGGAGGTCCCCGCGGAATGCACCGTGGCGACGTACCGTGGAGAGAAAGACCACACAGAGTGTACCGATTGGACGGAAACGAGGCGAGGAGGAAGAGGCAGGGTAACGGAACGACGACACTCGGGTGTAGAGTCAAGTATGCGCGAACTTGGTGTAAACNAAGGGAAAGAAGAATAGGCACGGGAGAAGCGATATGCGGACGAGACGGCGCGGTGCAACGATATCGAGTGGAGATCCCCGCGGAATGCATCGTGGCCGGCGCGACGAACGCGAGAGGGAGAGAAACGGAGAGAAAAAGAAAGGGAAGATTGGGAGAGCGAGCGAGAGAGAGAGAGAGAGAGAGAGAGAGAGAGAGAAGGGAAAAAGGAAAGAGAGAGAGAGAGAGAGAAAGAGAGAGAAAAAGGCAGGGACGCCCTAGAGAGGCAAGTATGCGCGCGAAGAGAGACCTTCGTGTATACCTTGTGTCGTATACTCAGACTACCGAGTCACTCGCTTGCCGGATACACACAATGACGGAAGAGAGTAGCGTACCAGCAGTCGACGACGGCGTCGGCGGCGGCGCTCTGCAGTGCGTCGGCCCGCTGACCTTGACACTGACATTGACTGAGCGAGCGACTGGAAGAGAGAGAGAGGCAAATAAAAACAGGCAGAGCAGAAGACGAAAGAGAGACGTATCGTTCGACGGTATATACGCGCGATTAGGCGAAACTAAACGCGATACGAAATCGTGTCCAACCACCCAACAGTACAAGTACCGTTCGCTTCCTCTGCTTTCTTTGCTCCCTAGCTCTCCTCGGTTGACCGCATCAACGATCAACCGGGTAACGAGACTTCGTCGATCGTTTACGATGGGGTATTCCAGACCTCGAAACAGGTTTTCAGAGGTGCACAGGCCTGCTCCTCGTTGCACCTGTGCCCGGGACAAGGAGATCCAACGGGCCAACTTAGCAAGAGAGGGGATCGAACGATCTTTGGATTGGGGAGCGACGAGACGCGTGGAGGAATAGAGACAGAGGGGAGTAGGTGAAAGAAGGATGAAAAGAGTAGAAAAGACGATGGGAAAAGGAGAGAAGGGAACGGCGACGTTGAAGCCACGAACGAAAGGAAGAGAGAAAGAGGGAACTAGGCGAGACGTCGAAGAAAAGGAGAACTGACTTTCGCTTTCTGTGCGCGACGCAGCCTAGCCGTGGAGCGTCGATCAATAGCGCCGCGACGGTTGCACACATATACCATACATACATACACACACACACACATATATATATACATGCGTGCCTTTTACAAACCCTCTCTATCCCGACTGCTCGCGTGATCTGTCTCTCTTTTGCCCTATCTGTTCATCCGTGTCTGTATATTATCCCCTCCAACATTCACTATTCTGCACGAGTCGCGTGTGTGAGGGTGGAATTATTGGGATCATGCTTCGTTGGCCAAGCAAGGGGTGACGAAGGAGAGACAGAGAGAGAATCAAGGACCTCGAGCTACCGATCAGCAACGCCCCACGTTCCCTCTCTTTCCTTCGGCCACGGTTGCACAGTTTCGCATGGCCCTCTCACACCCTCTTTTTCTGCGGTCTCGCGCGCGCATTTGCCCGCTTATCGAGCAATACACAAAGACAAAATCGGCACGAAGAAGGTGGAACGGACAGAGACAACGTACAGAGAGATGGTACAGAACGCGAGCGCGTGTCGCGTAAAGGGCTTTTTACACCGCTCGAAATGTGGAACTCGTGTTGGCCACGCATTCGACGCATAAAGTCACTTTAACGCGTCATGTCGGAAATTGCCGCGCGAGTTTACGAGCTTGTAAAGAGTCCCCGGTACTTCCTAGAATACGTGCGATCCCCGACTTACGGGGATATAGCCTGATTCCTCTTGGTTATTCGTGTCCGGCTTGCACGACTATAAATTTTCCTATGCCATCCTGGGAAAAATACTCGGTCCCTCTTTCTTTATATATCTATCTTTCTCTCTCTCTTGTTGCCACTGCAAGATACCGCGAGCTTTATGTCAGACCTTTAATCTACCTTTATTAAGCGCGCTGTCTCCTCCATTTGTAAGGCACTTGCTCCCAGTCGTAAACCACGTGCTCGCAAAGATCTTAAACGCGTCTGATGTGTCTCGTGAAATCAATTAAGAGAAAATAAACCGGTGCACCGTAAACAAGTATTCCAACGAGTAGCTCGTTTGTTGCTATATTTAGCGATAACGTTATAAATATACTTTTAACCAGTCTTCGTGCTTTTAAACATAACGTTTTCATTCACGTCAATAGAGAAATATATAGAAATTATATCTCGTATCAAGGATATCAAGATCAAAGTAAATATAATTAAATATTATATTCCAATATTATAATTATTAAATATTTATGAAACTATTAAAATAAAGTTTTTTAATTTTTTTTCCTTTTTTGTTTTAAATTAGATAATAAAATATTTAGACTTACCTGGCTTACCGATGCAGCGAGATGTTTCAAACTATCCGCATAATTTTTTAACACTGTGTCCGTCGTCATACAGCTCACTCGAAACTCGTAAAACATATCCAGTTTGTACACGCATCTCTGGCAAATATTTTTGGGCAAAGCATCCTCTTTCGTTATCTGTAATAGATGTAAATATTTTATTATAAAAAATATATGTAATTTAAAGTATAGGAATAATATAATTATGTAATAAAATAAACATAAAATTTATTTAAAAATCGTTAAATATATCATAATTGGAAATAGATTTTTTTGATTCATTGTGTTAAAATTTTTTTCTCATAGGAAATTGTTCCAAGTTTTCGAAATATTATTTTTTATACAAATAGAATTATAAAATTAAAAAATGACTTACATTTTCACTTTACACATATTTTTACTTTGTACTCCAATTTTTGAATACAATATAAACTTTCACTCGAAGCGATTAAAACGTGTCGTAGAAGTTTTTCTTAAATTATCTTTAATAATTTATTTTTAATATTTCTTACATGTACATTTTTAAAAAAGCTTGTAGATTTATAAAATAGAGAAATGATAAATTTAATAACAAATGATTGTAAATATCGTAAAATTCTTCAAATGCAACGAGATAAACGACTTACCACAGCAGGAATGCAGGAACGTATTTTAAATAGCAATTGTCTTTGTTCGCCTTCTTTATCGAAAATTTGAAGTTGATGATTACTCTTCAGCGAACATAATCTGCACAATTCAGCAAAATTGAAATCTTCGTTCATTGCCATTCTTACGATTCACGATTGAACACAAAATTGTTAGGTTATGCTATCTGTGAGATTTATTTCCACACTTCTTCGACCCAGCGAAGATTATTGTAAATGTGACACAGAAACTACGATTCGTTAATGTACAAATGAATAAAAATCGTTCAAATATTCCTAAACGTTGAAAAACTACAAATTTTTAACAAAATTAAGATAACGCCACCATTTCTTTCTCTCCGTTTCACTGTTGTCCAGCGTGCAGGATGCCTGACTCCACATTGTTCGACATTAAACCATCTGGTGGGTGGAGGAAATACTAATAAAGGGTTGTACATGATGGTAAAACAGTTAGAAACATTTTTTTTTTTAAATTATTATTTATTTTAATTCTTTTTTTTTTTTTTTAAATTAAAGTTTCCGAAATAAAATTGTTCATTGTTCATTGATATGCAAAATGAATAATTAAACTATTTTAATAAGTATTTTTATTTAAATTATTATTTAAAATAATTATAAAAATAATATAATATAATAACGATAAAAGATTATTATAATAACCCAAGAATATTGATTTTAGAGATTTATGACATAAAGATAATCAACATGTAACAAGTACATAATTGCATTGCTCATTATTTATTTATAATAAAAGTCAGAGTCAGTAAGAAGTTATCGCAATAAACATTCCTGTATAACATTTTATTGAATGAGTTCATGCAAGAAACTAAATATTAGACAAAATTTAAGTAAGTTGTAGTAATAGTCACAAGTGCAATTTATTTTAATTAAACTTAATATATTATATATTATAAAGAAAAAAATAGGATAAACAATGTGGTCCTATCAAGTGTGTGCCATTATTTGTCTTATTTTTGGTATATACGCGTTTATAACAAATATGTTCTCAGAGGGATTATTCAGCATTAAAAATATTATACTTAAGGTAAATTAATTAATTAATTAATTCGATTTAAATATATTATATTTATAATATTAATATTATTGAATTTTAATCTTTATTTTGAAAACTAATTTATCAATATTGCTTTTATCGTCTATCAATTTTACTTTAATTAAATCGAGGAATTTGTGATTATATTAATATTCAAATATCAACTATTTTATTGTATTGTGTAAATTAAATAATGATAATATTTTATCGAATAAAATTACATTTTAATATAAAAATTTCGATTTTTATATCATTAATATTATTATTCAAATTAATTCATATAATTAATTATATTAAAATATATTTGTATATAATTATAAAAATAATATGAAAATTTTTTAGAGGTAAAATATTGATCGCAAATAAAAAATGATATGGCAATGATATGAATACTGATTTCAGAGATTTTATATAATGTATAAATAATGTGTATAATCGTAACAAATTTACATACATGCTCGAATGTATGAATAAAATTAGAATCATAATAAAATTGAGTTTCAGTACAAAACAAAAATGAAAAAAACATATATTTAAATGCATAATTAATAATTACGAATATTATATCTTTTATTATTATAAGAAAACTAATAATGTTATTCAAATAATAATATTCAAATAATAATATTCAAATAAAAATAAATATAAATATGTATAATGAGAATATAAATTCAAATAAAATAATAATAATCATTCATTAATAAAGAAAATATTACAAAATTATCGAATTGCATCATATAAATAAAATTATTTTCCTGTAACACATTGAAAACTGAAGCAATTTTATAATATTAAAAATTTTATTAAAATATACAATGATAAATAGTAATAATTATTTTTTGTTATAATAAAATAAATATTCATAATTTCAAAACAATATATTCTTATTTCGAAATCTTTTATTATCTTTTCATTAGACAAATATACATTTATTTTTTTTACTTATGTTTAGAAAATTAAATAAAATGTATCTATTGTTATAATTATAAATAAATATATTTAAATTCATAACATGTAGACATTTTAAAATATATTTAGCATAATAAAATTATAAAACAATTTGTAACTTTAAATTCCTATAAAATTCCTAATTAATTCATATAAAATAATGATTTTTAGAATTTACCACTCGTTAAAGATAAAGACACGTACAACGCGTGGATATCACCTGTATCTTTAATCTTTAAATGTTATTTCTTTAATGTTACGAATCCTGATGAAGTGATGCAAGGAGCTAATCCAAATCTGGTTGAATATGGTCCATTTACTTACAGGTAAATAAGAAAATTGAATGATATTTTTTTTATCATTTTTTAAATACATTTTTTGTTATTAATCAAATTTATAAATTAATAAATTTTTTAAAATATATGTTTATGAATATATTTTATACATTTAGAGAAGTATACGAAAAACAAATAGTAGATGTGGATGAAGAATTTGATGAAATTATCTATGATATAAAATCAACATTCACTTTTGACAAATATGCAAGTGTGAATATATCTAAACGTGATACAGTTACTATATTAAATCCTGCATACATTGGAACTATATCGATGGCAAGTATAATTGAATAAGTTAAGAACTGTGTAAAAATCCTTCCTTTTAACACTTAAAACATCTTTTTATTTTTTTAATTTTTTTTTTTTAAATACTAATTTTTAAACAAAATGTACAATTTTAATTATTATATTTTTTCTAGTTAACCACTTTACCTCCAAATTATATGGATAAATTTGGTAATAATATACCGAAATTATTTCCAAATCGAAACAGTATTTTTTTAAAAGCTAATCCTAAAGAAATACTTTTTGACGGAGTTAAACTTACGTGTAATGAAAAAAAATTCCCTGAATTGAGTACGATATGCAAAACACTGAAGGCACTTCGATCACCTGTCTTAAAAGAAGGCGAAAAGGACGGCGTTTATTATCTTAGTATTTTTCAAAGAGTAAAATCGTATTTCTATCTTTCAAAATTAATACATTTCTTAAAAAATTTCCTCAATGATAAATATTAGATATTTTCCAATTGTTATAATAAATATAATTAATAACGTAAAGAAATACGAAATTCGTTACAATTTATATATATTTCAATGTTATTCCATTCAAAATAAATAGATGTATAATTAATACTTTATTTTTCCATTTGATAGGTTAATGGTACTATTCGAGGACGATTTTCTGTTAATAGAGGTATTAATAATATAAGTGAATTAGGTAATATAGCATCTTATAATGGAAAAAAAGTGCAAACAATATGGAAAACTGAAAAATGTAATATAGTAAGAGGATCTGACACAATTACTTGGCCACCATTAATAAATCCAATGCCTTCGGTTTTAACTTTTATACCAGATTTATGCAGGTAGATAAATAATAATTAATTGCAAAATATTATTATCAAAAAATCTTTAAAATAATGATCCGTTATCAAAATGGATTATTACGATTGATTAATGATGTATTCTTGAATATTAATTGCAAAATATAATTAAGATATCTAGTTACATCTTTTATTTTGCATTTATTTTATTTTATTAATAATTATTTATGCGTATGATATATTTTAATTACTATCCTAATTATATTATATGTTATCAAAATATATATATAGGAGTGTGGAAGTGGATTATGATAAAAAAGTTTCGATATACGGTTTAACCGGATTCCGATTCGCCATGAAAGAAAGAACCTGGTTCCTGAACACATCGCAGTGTTATTGTTTAGAAAAAAACAAAGTACCAAATTGTTTGCCGCAGGGTTTAATCGATGTCTCGAATTGTCTGGTAATGCTACGTTACGAAAATGAAGAGATATCTCTTGTATACGTTCTAAAATTTAATATGTTGCAGAAAGTACCGATAATCATATCAGAACCTCATTTTTTACATGGTGATCCGCAACTCTTGATGTATGCACATGGCTTAAATCCGGATAAAGATTTACACGAGACATTTGTCGTTATAGAACCATACACCGGGACACCTCTTTCTGGACAAAAGAAAATACAATTAAATTTGAAATTGGAAAGACAACCAGTCAATTTGCTTTCAAATATCAGCGAGGGATATTTTCCTCTTTTGTGGTGCTCGAACGTAAGAATCTTTTCGAAAATTATCATATTTCAACATTAACATAAGATATGATACGAGAAGGATATTTAATGGTTAATGACGATCAATTTT